CAATAACATAATATATCAAACTTTAAGTAATATTATGCTTGTGTTTATTATATCGGTGAAGAAATTGGTTAATTTAAGAGTAAACTTCAATTGGATAAAGAATGAATTTTGTTAAATATATATTGTTAATTTATAAAGGTAAAGAAGTGGTAGACTGTAAACAATGTTGTTGGAAATTTGGTTGGTGGGGGTGGAATGAATGAGAACAGACTACAATAGTTTTACAATAGTTGTTTAATGATTTGGTTGTTATCTTGTCTTTTCTCAGCTCTCACGAAGCCCTGAAACGCCGGCACAGTTTTTTTTTTTTTTTTTTTTTTTCCGCACTGACTGCAACTTATTAACTTCCCAACCATATTAATTTATAAGATAATGTTTTTTATTGAGCAATTACTGTTATGCTAACAATGAACAATGATTAATTAACAATTTTTTTATACATTTCTTATATTCTTGTACGCCTTGGGATTAGCGATGAACTGGATCATAGGCGACTTCGAAGTCCACCAATCTGAACGCTATTGACAGCGCCGCAACCTTGGCATACTAAGTCGGCACATCCTGCCAATTACCCCTTGCCTGCTGGCTGATGAGACTGCTAATTGGAATTAACACTGCCTCTGTCAATTAACTATATTAAAGAGGGGGGTAAAATTAGCAAGAATTAGCAATCTCAACATATTTTCTCGGCTCTTAGTGGGTCATTAGGTTTTAATTGTCCTTCCTAATACGCCTAGATGAGTTGTATTACTATGCGCGCTTGATTCATTCTATTTCTTCCTGTTTTCATAAACAATTTAATATACCCCAAGTAAGATTTTTAGTTCGTCCAAGACTAACTTAAAAAACAATATTTTAATTTTTAAAACCTTAACACGTGATAAGTATTTCTTGGCAACGATATCATCTAAGAGGTATTCGGCATGAATTATCTCGAAAACGGGCTTTAAATCTATTGGTCCGACCGTTGCTTTGAAACTATAACGGTTCTTGATAACCGTTTCGAAATCTTTAAAATTCAATTTATTCCATATCGATTCTTTTGATACCTCCCATTTTTTTAAATAACTTCTATTACAGTTGTTGAAATTCTCTCATAATGATATTTTACAGCTTCCAAATATGTATATAAAAATCGTTCATGTTTTAAAATACGACATTTCACACTAAAGATAATACTAAAATTATTATTATTATTTATTAACCAAACAAAACTGTGGAACATTAGGTTAAATTTGCAATAAGCAAATTTTTTAGCAGCTTCACAGCTTCCCATCACGTCCGGGATATAAATCAGATCAGCAGGTCTCTTGGCCAACGGCTACGTAATCGTCGTGGTGGGCTGTACGGGTTTCTTGTACGATGAAGGATTTCTGTCAGAGGATTCATGTTGTACGTCAGTCTTTGATGAAAGTTATTTGTAGTTCTCTTTTGCAGTATCTAAAATTGTAGGTACGTTTAAGTCTTTATGTAGTGTATCATTTGCGACATAAAAAGGTGCGTCAACTATCCTTCGCAACACTTTTGACTGAAAGAACTGAACTTTTTTAATGTTGGAAGTTTTAGCAGAGCCCCACAGTTCTATGCCGTAAGTCCAAATAGGTTTAAGTAAATTATAAACTTAAATACTATTACTTTGTTTATTTGACAGTAGGAAAAACTAAAAAAAAAAAAAAACCTACACAAAAAGATAGATAAATGAATTATAAATAATAATAATGAAAATAAAATTAATATTTAAATAAAATTACCAGTAATAATAAAGTATTTTTATGTTTTTAATTTACTTATATTTAGGTTATTTTATTTTTTTATTGTACATAGTTTGTATTTATTAATATTTAGTTATTATTTTACTTATGTTAATTTTTTTTTTTTTTTTTTTATGCGGTATACATACGGTATTCATTTATCAATATAATTATTGTCCCCGTGACAGAATATTATACGTCTAAATAAATAAATAAAAAAATAATAATAATAAAGTAAAAACTAAAGTCCTTGGTACTGAGTCCTTTTTATCAAATTATTAACATCCGCCTGAAACTTCGTAAATAGTTTCATCTCATCGTAACCTACAACTATTTTATTTACGAAAATTTTCGGAATTTGGGCGTTTTCAATCCGGAGGAGGGCAAACTTTATCTATTTTATTATGTACTAAACACTCGTAAATGCCCATTAGCTTTTCACTTGGATCCTAAGATGATTTGATCAAGAAATATAGAAAAGAGGTAAACTACAAAAATATTGAGCCGTTTGGCTTATATAACTTATTTTTACATGTTGGAGGTGAAGGTCACGCCAAAGGGCCCAACATTTTTGAAGGCCACCTTTTTTTTCGATTTCGATCTGAAATTATCTTACGATTCAAGTGGAAAGCGAATGGATATTTATGAGTATTTAGTACCTAATTAAATAGACAAAGTATTTCGATCTCTAGATGAACAAAGCCCAAATTCCTAGATTTTTTTGTAAATAAAATAGTATGAGATCGAACATTGTTTTGGTCTATTTTTATTCTAGTAAAATTTGCTTATTCCTATTGCCTATTGATTTAATTAGGAATTTTACTGAAACGTCGGCACAATTTTTTTTTTATTTGTTCTCAATGTCTTCAACTAAATAACTTTCCAATCATCTTAATTTGTTTTTGGTGTTTGTTGAGTTAAAAATTTCTCTTTCTGAGAGTATATGGATTGTTTAACTGTATGAAGTTTTATCCAAATCATTTAACACGTTAGTTATTCTTGTGTATCTGGGATAATCCTTCATGATTCTCATACACAGATCGTGTAGCCTTCCTGATTTTTTATAGTTTTAATCATATTTGTAACTCCATACTGGACAGATATATGCTATTAAAAGGTGTAAAACTAATTTATATAAAGTAATTTTGTTTTTTATTGAAATGTTAGATTTTTTTCGAAAGTAGTATTGTTAGTTTTGCCGCATTTGTTATTGCTATGTGATGTGAATGTTAAATCTCTTACCTAATTACTGCCCAAGAACGAATATCATGTATATCGGCTTATTATATATAATGTAGATTATTATTTTCTGATTGTAAAAAAATATGGCATTTTTTCTCATCGTGTGATATTAATAATATGTCGTAAACAGTTTTAGTTAATTCTTATTTGTCAAGAAATTAGCATTATTACTCTTGCTTGATATTATATCTCCTCAAATTGGAGATAAATAAATAAATTCGAAAATTGTTAAAATGAATTAAAATAAATTATTGCTACTTGTTGCTCTTTGCTCCATTGCTCATTCTTTGTTCAGTTCATTACTCTCTCTCTCGCTCTCTCTCCTCATAACAAGGGCCGAAAGTTCAACAAAAGAACAAAACTAAAACAATATATAAATTAAAACAGCAGAGAATCATGTTGTAATCCATCACACTTTATCGTTTGCGTGTTGCCTCGAACTATCCTTTTTCAGATTCTTCAATTTTACACCTAATATAATGCAATTAATCTGTTTGTATTTATTTATTCTTCTTATAAAATACTGTTTCTTATTAAATACTGTTTAAACTTAAGTTTATATTTATAAATAAATCAACATAAAATAATTTAGTTTACTACGAGGAGCGTAATAGCGTAATAATGGAGCGAACTGCCAAATGCTATAGTCTAGGCGAATGCTATACAAAAAATAAATCAGGGCATGATATATATATATATTTGGGCAACACTAGGTATAATGTCTTCTCACTGCTGCTAAAACATATTGCCTGTCAGGCGCGGCAGGAATGTAAATAATAAATAATGAAAAGACATTATCCCTAGTTATGCCCAAATGCTAGACCGAGACGAGTCTTGGTCTTGCAAACTCAGTCCTAGTATTATATTCTTATTAGTATTATATTATATTCATATATTATAGTTTTAATATTATATTCCAAGAAACCGCTCGACGTTTCCGACTACTCCAACACTTACTTGACAAACGCTCTAAACTTCCCCTTAATTACAAAAGACTCATATACTTGACTATAATAAGACCTATTTGGACTTACGGAGTTGAGCTATGGGGCTCCACTAAACCATCGAATTCCTCTCGCATCCAATCCTTACAATCCAAAATCCTTCGTAAAATCCTCAATGCTCCTTACTTTGTCACTAATAAAATAATCCATAAAGACCTCAATGTTCCATATGTTTCCGATTTGGCCAAATCCAGATACCTATCCTTCCATAATAAACTTCATAACCATCCGAATCCTCTTGTTTCTAACCTTGCTTCCTCTTCGATTCCTGATAACCCTCCGAGGCGTCTGAAAAAAAGATGGCCTCGTGATCTTCTCATGTAGACAAATTATTAGAGTGCTACCAGTGGGTAGTTTCTCAACAAACGTGTATCATGTAATAATATTTCTCTGTACAAATTTACTAGATGTATTCATACTAATACAGTTGTAAATATCATAATAAAAGTTAAAAAAAAAAAAAAAAAAAAAAATATTATATTATATTCATGGTCTTGGTCTTGGTCTTGCGCAACGGTCTTGCAGTTACTTATTAGCTTATTATTATAGAGATATTACTGTATTTTTTTAGATTGGATAAACCTAATTAAGCCCGAATGAAAAATTAGGGGAGTTAAATGCAAAAGTATATTGGTTATACTAATTATTAATATATAGTACCAAAGATTGTCAAGTATTAGTAACTATTTTGCCTTAACTTTTATTTTAAACATCGATTTTTTTTACCAGTCCTGCTCTTGGTCTTGGAACGGTTAAGCGGCTTTGGTCTCGGTCTTGGCAGAGTGCAAGACCAAGACCGATTTTGGGCAACACTAATTATCCCTAATGACTGTCCCCGATTTTAATTAGCCTCAATAAGTAATAGTTGAATATTTATTTAGATCGTTTTCATTAAAGCTCCTTTAATGTATTAGTTAGCGAAACATGTAAGTACTTTAGGCGCAGGTACAAATACCATGACCCAAGTTTACTTGCAATATATTGATACGATACAACGTGCTGCATGTTAGCCGCATGCGCCATTTATTGGACACAGAACGACGAATCTCTCCTCTCTGACAATATACTAACGAAATTAAATAGGGAATTGGTTTTACAAAGAGGTACAATAAACAGCTGACAAAGAAGCTAACAGTACAAATGAGATAGCTACGCCTGGTTAGGCGCCTCAAATTACTTCAGCAAGTCGAGTGTTCTTGTCCACTCTGGATTTTTTATTTTATTATTATTTATTTATTTTGGGAAATAAAGATTCTATTCAGAGTTGTCCTCAATAAACAATATGGTGACATACACCCCCAAATTGTCAAAATAACGAGGTTCTATAAACCAAACTGCTCAATATTTTTTAAGGAAACCTTTTTCCTCGACTTTTTGTTCAAGTTATATCAATTAAAGTCGAAAGAAAATGAATTTTTTAGAGTTTTTAGTACCTAATTAAATATACAAAGTTTGCCGACTTCCAGATTGAAATCGCCCCATTTCCAAGAATTTACGTAAATAAAATGTTTGTAGGTTACGATGAGATGAAGCTATTTACGAAGTTTCAGCCGGATGTTAATAATTTAATAAAAATGGCTCTGTACTAAAAGAGAATGCTACAACCCACGCCATACTTACACCATGATATATAATATATACTGAAAAAAAAAATTAATGCAACTAAGAAATGGATAAATAAAAATTAAAATAATCATTACAAAACTGTTTTTGCTAAATTAGTAATCTCTTGCTTTTTAATTATTACTTGATGAAGATAAAATAATATATAGTCGAAAATCCCATTCCATTAACAGAATCTGCGTAGAAGAGAATTGCTCCCGAGAGTTGATTCAAATTCAAATACTTCGAATCCGAAATGACCTCAATGCATTCATTACCAACGTTAGGAACATTGCAGCGTATAACAGAACTTTCTTTTCTCTTTCAAAAAAAAGTATTGAAATTCTGAAAAATTTCAATAAATTTCAAATTATGGGTGAACAATGCTATGATAATACAGAGCTGCTTAGAAAGTAGTCAATAAATATTACATGTGATGAAGGCAAAGAGGTTAAAATGAGCGGGGCATATATTTGAGAACAATCCATTTGGAAAAATCTAAAAAATAATACCTTAATAGAAGGCAAAAGTCCAGACAGATATAAAGTCAACAAAGATGCAATAGAGCTACATTCAGATAACGGGAAAGAAATAACCTAAAATAGGCAGTGATGGAGAAGGCTGATTAAGGCGGCAAAAGAAACAACGGGAAAATTCTTTTCTAAATATTGTTAATTCAAATATTTATACAGGGTGTTTCAGTTTTATAATAATAAGGGCTGTAATCCAATGAATTTAATAAATGATTGTGAAGGTATAATTTCAGATAAACTGTTTTGAGAATATGCCATGAAATATTTAACACTAATCAATCTATTAGTGGGAATTACAACTTATCTGAGGCTTTAAGTATAATGTGGTTAAATTGTGTTGGTCTTTTTCAACTTCGGCGGGTGTAAAAATTATTTTAACTGGTCACACCCATAAGGGAACCAGTTATTTATTTAACCCGTTACTAGTAACCAGTTGCTCTAAGAAAAGGTTTTCCCTCGCCCTCTGTCCTTCGGTGCCTGATCTCAAACTTAACGCTATCTTTGATGTCATTAGGTTTAAAATATTACTTATATAATTATATATATAAAACCAAAAAAATCTTTACATTTGCGGTATTTCATTTTCCTTACTGAATTTCTTTTCTTATGTTAAATACAATAAAAGCTAGGAATACCTAAACTGCTTAGAGTCTTCTATTTATGGAACGGTAAAGATCAAAGAGGAGCCCCCCTCACTAAATTACTAAAGTACTAATCATCTTTCTGTCAAGTCGAACAATGGCCTCAACCCGAGGAGAAAATTGTCGTTTAACAGTAATTAGTCTTTCTCTCTTGTTATTTATAATTTACATAACTTTACTAAATTATAAATTAACTCCTCTTAATTAAAATTATGAACATGCAAGTTAAAGTCAGATTTTTAAACTTTTATAAAATAAACTTTGTTCATTATGTAGACCTGTTCAACATAGTTACTTCTTTTTTTCTGTATATTTTTAATTAGCTTCTTTTTTTTAATCTTGAAAGGTTACCTCTTGTTAGAGTATTCTTTAATTTTATTTTATTTTAATTACATTATTAGGTACCTGTACTACATCACTATAGCAGAGTGTGTAGTTTTTAGCTAAAATAATTGGTTAACATTGAACGTTTCTACTTAGAACACATAAAGTGATTAAAGTTTTGATGAATATTTTTTTAATGTTTGGAATCAGTGAAGAAGTTATTTCATTAGCTTAATTTTACAATCTCCAAAATTAAAGTATCAGTGATCTCTATATTGAAATTCTATCACTATCACGGATCTCTAAGATGAACTTTGAAGTCATTTAGAAGAAAAAAATATAATAATAATAAACGGCTTAGCGGACCCAAAGATTCGATACCGACACCATCCAGTTCCGCAATTCCCTACGTTGAACAATCTTCCCAACTATGTTTTAGTCTACTCAACGAATCTTCGTTCTGGAGGAAAAAAATCTTGTTCATGATTGCTTGGGATTTAATACAGATTTAATAAAGTATTTTTTCAGAATGTGTTACTACTAGTTGTATATATATATATATATATATATATATATATATATATATAAATTTTAATACTTATATTGCTGTAATCTATACATTTTTAAAAAATTATTTTAATGAAATTTACAACTGTATTACATAGAAAAAACAATTAGTAAATGTGACATTGGTAACATGACATGTACAACATGAAGAGAAACTACCCATTGGTAGAACTCAAATTAAAGTTCTATATTAGAAGATCCCGAGGCCATCTTCTTTTCAGACGCCTCTGAGGGTTAATCAGGGAGGAGGAAGCAAGGTTTGAAACGAGAGGATTCGGATGGTTCTGCAGTTTTTTATGGAAGGATAGGACCAAATCGGAAACATATGGAACATTAAGGTCTTTATGGATGATTTTATTTGTGACAAAGTAAGGAGCGTTGAGGATTTTACAAAGGATTTTGGATTGTAAGGTTTGGATACGAGAGGAATTCGATGGTTTAGTGGAGCCCCAAAGCTCAATTCCGTAAGTCCAAATAGGCCTTATTATAGTAATGTATATGAGTCTTTTGTAACTAGTTGGAAGTTTAGAGCGTTTGTCTAGTGCTGCAGTCGAAAATGTCGGGCGGTTTCTAGTCGTTTTTGTCTGGTATGGGGGTTATACAATTAAATATTAAATAATACCAACGATAGTATTTATCAAAACCGCGTGTGTTTATGTGTGTCGGGAGTCCATGTTATATTAAACTAATATAAAGTATGGAAGCCTGTAAAACAAAAAAATAAATAAAGATCCTTAGGGGAAGCTAATATTAAAAGTTAGCCATTAAATCCCTGTTAGAGAACATCAATGAGAAGAAAACTTACATTATATTAAAAACTGCTAAATTTTACACTGATAGAATGAATTTAATCAAAATCGTTAGAGCCGTTTTCCCGGAAATCGTAAAAATGTATTAAATAGATGATTTAAAGTGCCGCTTCCGGTTAGCCGATTTTGACGAAAAAGTTTAACATTCTAGGCATATAAAAACCTTAAATATGCAATTTCACTTTCGTACTTCTTTACATTTTTGGGCTAGCCTGTTAACACACAAACACAGGCTATTTTGTTGTACTTGGTTATTTGGACTCAGGGGTCCTCAAAACCTGTATTTCCGTTCAAAACTGATATTTGAAAATTTTCACGATTGCAATACTTTCCTTTACTGTTTATTTCATATAAAGGTAAGTGAAAGTTATAAACGAAAAATCTCATGACAAAATATCTGTCATCATATGTCAGATTCGTGACGAAGTACTAAAAATCTTGGATGCACTAAAATCCAAAATATTTCACTATTTACTCTTATATTTTTTAATTTAACTTAACTAATTATTGCTTATGCTTTGAGAAATAATGTGTTTTCATGTTTTTTATTATTTTATTTTTTCAGTTGGAGGGATGGGGTGTTTTGGGAGTAAAGATAAACTGTCCAAGGAGGACATGGACTTCCTGAAAACCCGGACCCGGTATGACGAAGCCACCATCAAAGAATGGTACAAAGGGTTTAAGGTGAGTCAACAGCTTTTTAATTATTAATAATCGTAATTGTTTGTTGTTATCACTAATATTAATTTTTTGTAAATTAATAACAAAAAAAAACTCGATTACAGAAATTGGGAAATTCTATCCACCCTACAGGAATGTACTACTATATCTACATCTTGGTAGATTGATAGAGAAATTGACATCTTCGAATATATATTTTTTTAATCTTATTTATTGAGAAATGTTACAATCTGTCAAAATTAACGACATTTATAATAGTGTTCATTCACACTCTATTCACAATAAATAATACAGAAAAATAATAATACAAAACCCAAATAAATATATATAAAAACAAAAGAACTAAGCTAATCAAAATAACATCTTAAACTCAAGCATTGGTGATTCTCATTCTAGGGGCAAGTTTTAGTCCATTAAAACTTTTACGTGATTAATTAATTCTAACTTGATTTTTCTCCCACTGCCATATTGTGAAGAAATATTTCTTCATAATGAAATATTAAAAATTATAATATTAAAGAATAGTGTGATTTTATAATTACTTAAGCTACTAAAATGTCATTACTACATATTGTTCCACTCTAAGTTTTATAGTTAACAATTTTTTTTTTTTTCTTCAAAACCTATGTAAATTGACAGTGAAATTTATTTCCACTTCCAAAGAATAATTAAGGCAAGGAAGTATGTTTATGTATTTTTAAACCTTGTCCCATCACTTTGATGTCATTACCAAGTACAAAACATAACATCAGATATTTAAGCGTTGAAAAGAGAAAACAGTGGGGAAATTTCTTCATAATGTAGTAGTAGCCATGGAGTTAAAGGGCAGCTACCAGCGGATAGACCGACCAGTTGGGGAGCCTCCCTCTACGCATCCGTTTCTTATAGGTTGAGCACGTGCCTTTATTGTTGTCATTACCATCGCGTATATTATCTCTCTACCTCTTCAAATTATTTCATTTATTATAATTCACGTTTGACTACGGTTTGTAGCAAGTCAGTTGGAAAAAAACAAAATTATAATTCTAGTTACACAGCTGTTTTGGCCGAATAAAATACGTGAATATATCATTACCAAGTTCAAAAATTATTTCATTTCCACAACCGAATTATTAGGTTTAATTACTGAAGAAAAAGCACTTTTGATCTTGGCCATTTGCTCAGATAAATAGAAGGTGAAGGTATTTAGGAAATTGTATTTAAATGCCGTCAAAATTATTATTATTTTATCATGAAAATAGCTCATAATCTGAGAATCACCCGCGTACATTCTACGAATATTTAAACTTATATTATTTAAACTTGGTTTAGTTTTCAGGTTCCTTTCACTGCACATTACAGCTCTAGACAAATATATTTCGTCCTATGTATAGGATAGGAAGGAAGGAATAGGAACCCGACTACTAAACCAAGTTTAAATATTCATAAATGTAAATTCCCCTTAATCTACCAAGATGTTTCAATAGATGGAAGTATATTCCCTCAGGGTAGAAAATTTCCCAATTTCTTTACTACATTTTTTAAAATTAAATTTTTTTTTTTTACATTTTTAGTTTTTAAAATATTAACAATTTTCATCAATGATATCATTTCAAATCAATTAATAATCAAGATACTTAAACTACAATTATTTTTAGTATTTTTAACTCAAGTTGTTTCAAAACATTAACGGGATCTAGCAATTGTATGTAAAGGGGACCCTACACGGTCAATCGGAATTGCACTAATGACGTTCCGAATTGTCGTGTAAGGTAGTGAATGAAGTACTGATGGTGGTGCGCTGCGGATTGCCGAACATCCGGAAATCAAAGGTTCATTCACGAGAAGTGATAGGTTAGGTTAGGTTTTCTATGAGACTAACCTTACTACTAGATAGGTTAGTTTACCTAAGTCTCGTTATTAAGTAAATAACTTCATAAAAGTAAATAGTTGTTATTATTAACTATAAGTCTATGTTATTATTAACCATTTTCAACTATTTTTTCTTTAAAAAGTCAAGTAGACAATAAATTGGAGAGAAAAAAAAGTGGATACTTCACATAAGTAATGATCAGAAATGATTGAACGTGTAAGTGTCTTCATGAACAAAGCGATAGCGGGCAATCTTGGAACTTCTTGTGACGTTCATTCATGAATTACCGTGTAGGGTCCCCTTAAAGTAGTAATTACATCCATCAAAGTTAAATCATGTGTCGATCATGTGATCTCTTAAAAAAATCTTTTCGTACTTTTTAGCGGATTGATTAAACACACTTTACGCAGTAGTTTGGCAGATTTTTGAGCTCAAATTATTTCAAAAGAATCACGGAATCTCAAACAATAATTTGAGCCATCAAAATTAAAAATCGATCCAGCCGTTCGCTCTAAAGCGTTATTTTATGATTAGAATGTTTTTCCCATGAACCAGTGAAGAGTCAAGTAGATGAAAGGGATTTTTAACATTTTTGAATTTTAAGAAAATTGAATTAAAATTACCCCTATTTATTATAAGATCAATCTAATTATGACACAAGAAGAAAGAATTATCACGTTTAACTTATCTTCGAATATTTTAAAGCATCCATTGCGGTTAGTGTGAAGCTACCGAACTGCACAAGCAAAGATAAGATTATTATTTTTCATATATAGTTTTTAAAAAAAGTAAAAATTAAGTGTTGACAATTTTTTATTTATGTGCGTTTATTTCAGGTGTTTTTTATATTTTATTTTTCCTTTGGATTTATTAAAAAAAATACAATTTCTCTCGAATATTGTCGCCCCAAGCATGTGTAACATCTGTCCATTAAACCCAACCGTACTTCAGTAAGTTTAATAGCAACACTGTATTAATAGTAACACATTATTCTCGTGCTCATGATTGGTTATTTAAAAGATATATATATAAAGCGGTCAAATGATAAAAACATTGTGTACGCGTGGAGAACATAATTGTGGAGGATTCGATGCTTCTGAATTCCCTTGCCTGTCCTCTATTTGTTTTTCTTTACACATTCGACATTTTGAAGCTTACAGCATGTTCGCTAATCCTTTGGGTCCCAAGAAGGTTATCTTATTTCCCTGAGTGTCTTGGGTGTTTGGGCTCCACCAGTCTTTTGATGTAGGATTGCTAAGAAACCCGAGATGTTCTTTCCAGTTGGTGATCTTCAATACTCCAGGCGTGGCTCGATCCTTTCTCATCCTACAAATGCGACAAAATCTTCTGAGCTTCTTATTTCGTAGAGTACTCTTCAGATCGATGGCTTACGCTTCTTCTCATGTCCTTTCATTCCTCGGCAGGACTCTTCTTTCCTCTTAGTGGACTCTCATTTTCGTAGTTTTAAAGCTGCTAAAATGGCTCTAAGGAATGACGCAGCTTATCGTGCCACCGGCTTTGAAGATCCACACCAGATTATGTGTAATTATTATTTTTTCTCATTTTGTTTTTTTGTATCTATCTAACTGCGATTGAATCATAAATGCGGTAATATAACTGGTTAACCTTGGCATCCCTAATCATGCAATCTTCAAATATAAAAATAAAATAAATGAACTTAGATCTAAGAATAGTTAATTTATTCATTAATCATTCACTCTATCAATTTTTTTTATGACATTGTATTGTAATTTTCTTAATAAGATTTTTATCGAAAAATCCTGCAAAAGTTTAAAAATACATTTTTACTATCTTTACCATATTTTTCCACGTGCCATACCATATTTTTTTCTATTTACATAGGCACATTATATTTCATTATTTTACTTTTATAAAACATTATCTTTGGCATTTGTGTGAACTAAACATTTTCATCAAATTTTATGATAAGTAGGTAGCGGGATAGCTCAGTGAGTACTGACTTCCTAAGCTCAAGGTTTGAACCCTGCTGATGGCAGGTAATTATTTATTATGTTTCATCAGTTATGAACCCATCCAGCCTCTATGAAATGAATATTCTTAATTAATTAATTTTTTAAGGTGAAAAACTTGGCAGTTGAGAGTTATCTCTGTCAAATCACCTCCCTGCACAACTCTTGACCAAGAAACAGTGCTTTCGTACATAATACTGAAGACCCACCATGGGTTGTAGTAGTACAGAATTTTTTTTTTTTTAAATAACAGAATCATTGGTTAATACAATAAATGATAATTACTCCGTCCTATAAAGTTGATCTATTTTCCTCTCAGTCTACGAAAAAGTTCGCCAAATATTTTTTATATATTTACTTCAAGAATTTCTCGTCAATGACAAATGAATGATAGAATCATAGAAAGAATGATGTGGCCAAAGTTTTTGTATCTCTCTTATTCTTATACTATCCCTCTCTTAACTACTGAATTTACATCTTGAGTACTCTGTTTATAAATACATCATAATGGTTGAGTCTTATACTATAACCTTAATGATATTTTATATTATATTTGTAAATATAGACCATATCTATGAAGGGTCTATGAACCCTGATACCCCTACCTGTTTGTGGGGAACAACAAAAACCTATGATATTGCCAGAAATTGCTTCAAACTTCCCTCTAAGATCTTTCATTTCTAATTACAATAGAGTATAATAATTTCTGTTACTGGTTGTTAGTCATTATAGCAACCAAAGTCCCAGAACTAGAGGCTCTTCTTTTAGATGAAGCTGGGGGGTCCTGAAAACTGTACTCGAGTAAATAAGACCCCCGGACCCCAGGCAGGGTGATTATAACTTAACGAGGAACACTTGAGCCCTTGCAATTATAACTTGCTCCTGAGTAGGTATGTAGATCTCTCCTCGCTCCAACTCTCTCCCTCTATCTCTCTCTACCTCTCTCTTATGCAAACACCCTCCACAAACTAAGGTACCCTCTTACTGAATCCATTAGACTGCCTCGTCTTCAATTCCACGCTTATAATCAAATATTTGCAGACAAGTTTTTAAGTCTTGGAACATCATGTTTACATTTCATTTTAGAGTTATTTATTTTAATCTTCAGTGGTCAAAGTAAAACTGATTCATTTATAGTCCGAGAGCCCGTGCAAAAAAATTTACATGATGTGGTGAAAATTTGTAAAATTGTGAAAAATTGAGTCTATCTGTTAGATCATGCAACCTCAAAAAATGGCGACTGAATTAATAATTTTTTTGGAACAGATGTACAATGGAAATCATTTTTAATAGATGAACTCAATAAATATAGTATGAAATGAATGAAAAATAATTGTATTCTAGGACTAAAGTCCACAATAACTGGGTTGAAGATATATGCATACCATTCCGCTATATAGAAATAATACAAAAATACAAAATAAAATTCAAGTGCGAAAGACAACAAGCGGAAGAGACCTGCAATGTCATACAAAATGAACTTAAATTATTAAATATCCAAGTAAATTCTACAAAAACCGATTGTATAATATTTTCGTTTAAAAAAAAATAAGAAAAATTTCGAGTTGGCGATTCATACAACAAAATATTCAATAATTTGGACTATCTCGGAATGAAATTTGGCCGACATCTAAAATTAACAGCTCATTGCACTTAAAAACTATTAAAAGTTAGACAAAAATACTGCAAATTCAGTCACCTTCTCACAACCTCAATTCTCAGTCTCAGATTAAAACTACTCATCTACAAAAGCATACTTCGACCTTCCCTTCTCTATGATGCTCCTCTACTGTCCCACATTTCAGAAAATACAAGCAAGAGACTTCAGCTATTCCAAAATGGAATCTTAATCAGAATAGTTAAAATACATCCTTTGAAAAAGAAAAATCAGATAAACTTCACGTCTTCTTAAATTTGCCCAGCGTATCTGAATTCATAAACAAAAGAATAATAAAATTCTATATTTTTTTAAAATATATAACCAATGGAGAATTCAATACGATAACATTTCCGCCGGCTCCTCGGCGATAGCAAAATATAGACCTAAGGTAGATTTTAAGTTAGTCCTAAGAAAATTATAAACATTGAGGTGAGCCCCATCACCCAGATTGAAGTCCAAAAATAAAGATAAAGAAAACTAAGAAAGGCTCAGGAAGACCTTAAAATGTATCTAAGATACAGTAAAACGAATATGTTAATCATATGTAAGAAACAAACCTTTAAGAAACTGGGGATAAGAAAAAAAAAAAAAAAATACAGTAGCAAACGACCAAGATCCAGCACCTCCACCTTGGTCCACTAACTTCTTTAACATGATGTCAAATTTCATTTCACAAATATCGCAATTAGTTTATTTACAACTCACCATGGCTAGTACTCATAGCAGCTTAAATTACAATACTAATAGCATTATTATGAAAAAATAAGAAGTAGAATTACTGTTAACTATCAAACCATCAGTATTTACAGTATTGACAGATGTTAGGCTATCCTCAGAACTAATTCTATGGAATAAAAAATTGGTCCGCCATAGATATCGTTGTACACGCTCACGGATTAATTAGCGAAAATGAACAAATTTGTATATTTTTTGGAAAATGAACATCGGAAACTTTACTCAGTTACAAAACATTTTTACCTCATGGCAATAAAAATTAAAAAAATAATTATTAGAACTTAAACATAAGCTCTCAGGAAGTGTAAAATGAGATTTAATTATCAATTATTCGAGGAGAAAAACATTTACTCTTGTATTGTTTTTAGTTACTCTTGTATATTTTTGACAGTTACTAAAAAAATTATAAAAGTACTCTATCTGAGTATATAAATAAGCATGAATCAGTTTATAGATAAACTCATAATTATAAATAAATTATATAACTAAATAATTATTATAATTTAGTAGCTAATAAATATGTTTATAGCTTTAATAAATTACAATAATTATAAAAACCTATAAACAGCTGGTCATGGTTAAAGTACAATAAAAAAGAACACACTTCCATTTCTATTCAATTTCATTTTATTTTAGACCACAGATTATTCTCTTAAATAAAAAACAAAACATAAATTGTAATCCGGCGAAAAATAAATCACTTCCTTTTAAATGAACTGGTATAAAAAGGGTCCGCTTAAATTAAATTCCTCTTCGATTTATTCATATAAAACAGTACAGATAAAAAAATAAATATTAAAAGCTTCAATTTTCTAATATGAATGTTGTACTTACAATTAATTGAGAGGTTGGAATAGAATGCTTTATTTGACTTTTCGATCATCTAATGAATGGATTTTCTGATGAATGGTTTTGGGCTTTGCTTATTGACAATTACTGTATTTTTTTTTTCAAGTTTATTTATTTTCACCCATTTTACACCAATTTTCAAAATTTTTTGTCAACTTAATGGCTACACATCTGATTACGACGTATAGGCTCGTTGAGCCATTTTCAAGTCTAAAATACCAATCATGTACCTGTCCTTTTCAACTTATGCAAATTGCATGCGTCTATTCATTTAAAAAAAAAATTATTTTTGTCATGTCCACCTTTAATTATTTTATAAACATTATTATTACTCATTATTTATTATTAAATGATTCAAATAAGTTAAAATCACCTTATAATGTGTCACTGACATCTCATCAGCCTCATTTCAGTTTCGTGACGGAGTCTCATGTGTAGTCATTCAGTTGACAAAAAATTTTGAAAATTGGTGTAAAATGGCTGAAAATTAATAAACTTGAAAATAAATAGTATGCACCGAAGAAGAATTGGAGAAATATTGAGAATTACTGTATTTTGTTTCAGTACTACGTTAGTAATACAGTGGAATCCCCCCCCCCATGCAATTAGTTCTACGATCAACCACATCGCCCTCTTAGAAATAATTAATATTTAATTAGAATAAAACCCGGTTAAGATGAAACTTTACTTCTATTTCTATTTCTATTTGAGTTAGATTATAGGCAAGATCCTAAACTCGCCGATGGATCTATGAACGGAATTCAGAGCGTTCCATTATTCATTGATTAACCATCTATACCTTATCGGTTCGATCATCATTTGTGGTTATGGTTCTGCTGGAATAACCTTAATGTTACTATTTCTCAATTTATTTTACATATTTATATTCAATTTATATTTATTTCTTTTTGACACTCGCCAATTTAATAGGTAAATATTTCCTCATATAAATGTTTTTAATGGTGAAGAAATTGGTGGCTGTAGACTATATGGTTGGGAGTTGCAGTCAGAGATAACACACAAATAAAACGAAAGATTTTTATAAAAGATAAAAATTATGTTACCTGCTTATAAATTAAAAAAAAATGTATAAAAATTAAAAAAAAAAAGTATTATCTGTAACTAGTTTATCCGTGCGAATAATTCGCAGAAAATTTTGTTTAGTGAAGAAATAGCAAAACAATATGGAAATAAATAGATCCTATGTA